TATCATCGGTTTTTAAATATAATTACGTCCGTCGTGCGTCTCCGATCAGCGAAACATTGCCGTTCTTCCATTATTATTATTATTGTTTTTATTATCAGTAACATTGTTGTTCGCGAGCGCCGTCCCGTCGATGGATATTAATTTTTGTAACTAACGTGCCGTGTGTTTTTGTAAGATTTTTCACAACGCGTTTTGGATTTTCGACCGGTGGATCCCTAACGTTTGTAATTTTTTTTTCCCCGGCAAAATTGCCGCCTTCGGGAACCGAGAGGATAAGTGCGTGTGTTCGCGACACGCCGAGTGAACGTAGAGAACGACCGCTGGGATTACGCGGACTAAAATCACGTTGCCGGGTGCCGCCAACATGGTGAACCCGAGCACGGAATCCATACTGAACCAGATGACCAACCTGGCCATGGACATCGCCATGGACTACGTGTTGCCGGCGTCGCCGATGAGCGACGTCTGCAAGAGCGACCTGTACGAGTTCGAACGCGAAGTGGTTGCGGCCGCCAGCAGCAGCGTTAATCTGCTCAGCAGTTTGGTGGCCAGCACCGTGGGAACGGCGAACGGCTGCTGCGGCCGGCCTCCCACGAACTTGTGCAAAAAGAACAGCTACATGGGCGCGGCGGGTTGCGACTCGTGCGACGCGTGCACGGCCAGGCATGCCGCGGACTCAACGCCGGGCAGAAGCTGCAGCGGGTCACCATCGTCCGCGGGATCGTACACGCCGTCTTCCACGTCCTCGTCGCCGTCCGCGCACCAAACGCCGCCGCAGCAGCAGCAGCAGCAACCGCCGCAGACGGCCGAGACGACGATGGACATCAGCTGGTGTCAGTTCGACGGGTGCGAGTTCGACACGGCCGACAACAGTTACCTGGACATATGCGAGTGGATATTCTACGCGGACCGGTACGCGCTGACCGACGAGAATCGCGAGAAGGTGCAAAAAGCGTTCCAAATGGTGCCGCCCGGTGAGGTGACGGGTTACGTGGCCGGGCCGCCGCCGTCCGTGGCTCTGCCGCAGCAGCAGCAAAAGAACGCCAGGATGGGCGTCTCGTCGACCATCACCACGAACGCGGGCGGCTCCGTGACCATCAAGTCCGAGCCGCTGCACATCAAATCCGAACTGCTCGATATCAAATCCGAACCCGAAGACGACTATTTGTGGACCAGCGACAACCACTTGCAACCGATCATACTGAAAGCCAAACCGAACGCGGACATACTGGAGATCACGGAACTCGATCACAGTTATCTACAATCAAACAGCTGCTCGGCCAGTTCGTCGGCGGCCGCGTCGCCCATCAAACACCACCATCACGCCAACCATTTGGTGGACATGCTGGGATTGGTCACACCGCCCCCGTCCAGATCGCAGTCTTCCGGTGAGTGTTTTCTTATTTATCATCTGCCGACCGCACCGTCTCTTGGTGGTGCGTTCTTCGCGGAACATGATATTGCGCATGCCATTTTTTCACCCCCAAAAATATTGAAAGAAATCGCGCGCGCGTCATGCGTGTGCGGTGGCCGCATAGTGAGCGGGCGTTCGGTCTCGTGTCGTAATTGTTACGACGATTTCGGCGGGCTCTCGCCCGGCACCGTCGTCAGTGTTGCGCAACATGCCGGTGCGGAGCTGCTGCCTCGCGATGAAACGGCGGCGCGCGCACTGCTACCGAGTAGGGGAAAACGCGGCCGACCGGCAGTCTGAAATGCGCGGGTAACGTTGGCCTAGTTCAAGGCCCATCTCCTTCCGCTGCCGGCTTCGTCTGATATTTTTGGTTTTTTTTTTTTTTTCCCCCGTCCACTATTCGTAATACATAAATATTCCCGATCGCTAACGCGCGCGGTTACCCGGTCAACGGTTCATTTTTTTCCCACACGTCGCGCCGCGTCGTCCACACTTTTCGGTTTCATTCTTATTGCTTTCTCCCCCCGACCGTGTTCTTCGGTATTTTCCCTCTCGAAATAGCCCGAGACGTTGATAAATCGTCACCGATCGACGACGACCTGGGCATGCGCGTTTCTTCTTTTTTTTTGATAAAATCTGATTACTCGTGTGTGTGTAGGGTGTAAACGACGATGTAGCGGGGTTTTTTTTTTTATGTTTCGTGAATCAACGTCGTCGTAGTAAATTCCACATGTATACGCGTGTGGGAGTGATAATAATAAAGATATAACAACAATAAACGTACATTATTTCTATTTTTGGCGGTAAAACACAACCGTCGTCGGTATGTCCTCGTCTCTCCCCGTAGCTGGAACGAAATGAAAGAAAAACATTTTTTTTCTTCTCATTCTCGCACGTATAATTTATTACTTTTTTATAAATTACCATCAGATTTCTCCGAATTCTCTCCCACCCGGCGTCATCGTCGTTGGCGGTGGTACGCGCGAATAATATTAGCGTTTCACTTTTGACCGAACAATTTATCTATTGTACATTGTTTCGTGTTTACATTTTTCCCATACAATATTTTAAATATTCTAATCGCTCGTTTATGTCCAAGCATTGAAAACGGGTATAACGAAATCCGATAGACACCATAAATATACTTATGAACTGAAATACATTTTATCTATATTTATAAATGATAATCCTACCAAAATCGTACGATTTACGAACTATCTAAGGTAAACATTTATGCCCAATTATTATTTAATCTATATTAATACTAAATATATTAATATTATCAATATTGATCACTCTCATAAAACGAGAAAAAAAGAATTATTATTAATCTTAATTAAAATTCCATCGCGATTCTTACAATTCTAATTATTGAACGTTTATCATTTAACAAGGAAAACAGTATTAATAATTTTAATGCAAATTACATTTAAACTCTTATGATTGGAATTAATGTTGAACGATTACAAGTAAGAATCGAATCATTTTCATAAATTAGGTCATGCGCGAAACGTTTCGTATTTTTCGTTTTCAAGGTCGAATCACGCGTAACTTGTTTTTGAAATGGAAAAATGTGATTGTTGAATGAGAGAGGCGAAAAATGTATGCGAACGCTGTTTAGCACCACCTCACATTTCTCTCTCAGCTGACCGTCGTCATGTAATCGTGGCGGCGGCGGCGAAGTAGTTATTTACAAGAAAAAAGTAAGAGTGTTCAGGTTCCGCCGCCGCCTCGTCCTGTCGTGCTCGCGCGCAACGGGAATAGTGACGAAGAACGACGACGACGATTCTTATTCCTTCGGTTTCAAAACGGTGCGGTCGACGGCTATCGCGATTTTTATTTTTATTTTTTATCTATGTTATTAAACTTCAAAGCGTTCATAAAAATAGATACAGGAAATCGTTGTGTTTTTCCTCCGCCGACAATAATATAAATAATAATATTATTACCGACATTCCGACGGATTCAGGGTGGGAACGCGTGTTAACGTGGTGGTGTATACTGATAACGACGATCGTCTAAAAATACTATTGCGTAGTAAAACCGTGGTCCAAGAGGGGTTGGTGCGGTGTGCGTGTACGGTTCAAAGTGTGCAGTGAGAGTGATCGCGCGCTAACGGCGGCGGCGGGGCACGACAAATATTTCGGTTTTACGACGATCGATATACGGGCGGCCGTCGTACTCCTCCCGGCCCGTTGGCGGTCGTGGACTTGCCCTTGAACCCTAATCGGGGCCCCACGTTCGCGGCGGACGTGCGCGCGCATCGCGACGGCTACGACTGTACCGCGGCGGCAGAGCAGCGACGTCAGTTTTCCCGGCGGGAGATTTTCCGCGCGCGCGAAAAACGCCCGGCGTCCCCTCCGCGCGCCATTGAGTCGGACGCGCGCGTTGGCGGGAATCGTCGTCCACAACGGCGCGCGTCTCCTGACGACCCTGACGTCACGCCACCGTCGCCGCCCGTTCGATCGATTGCGCTCTCTCCGCCGGCCAGCGTGCGCGTAACGTACGTGCAGTTCGTCGACCCGCGCCCTTGAACGTTACCGCTACGTTTTCCCGCCACGCGGGGAGCCCCTATTTGGAATTTACGTGTTTATTTTTTCATTTTATCATCCTCTCTCCGTTGTTATTGCGCAAAACGAATGTATTACTTTTTTTCTAACCGGGGTTCTTGTGTGGTGGGTATTTTTTCTTTCCGCAGAAGAGGAAGAGATTGATGTGGTCAACGATGGTTGGGACACGCCGGACACGCCGCGCAAGGGCGCCACCATGGCAGACATAATGAAACGCGGCATCGTGAAGAAACGCGACCAACCGGTGACCAAATGGAAGAACACGGTGAAGCGGAAGCACAAAACGACCGCGGCTACAGTGGCTGCGGCGTACCCGATGCCGCCGCCACCCCCGAAGAAACTGTGCGGCGGCGGGGGCCTGTCGCTGTTAGACAGGTTCAAGAAGGACACCAACTGGAAAGACATGGTCATTAAAGACGAGCCGCTGGACGAAGAGCCGGTCGACGAACTGAGTGCAGTCGAGCACGCGATCCTGCGCGCCGAGATCAAAGCGGAACCGTTGGACGGCGACGACGAGGACGACGATTACGACATGGACGCGGACTTTGAGTCATTGATGAAGAATGAACCGGAAGACATATTCGACGACGAGTACGACGATTACGATGATGAAAACGACGATATGGACTGGGACAAGGTGCTGGGCAAGAACATCGGCTTGGACACGTCGTCGTCACCCAACGGTGGTAGCCGCGGGCACAGCAAATCGTCCGGTGGTTCGTCGTCGTGCAGCTCGTCATCGCACACGACGGCCGGTGGTCGGAAGAAGAAGAAAAAGAAGAAGGCAACCAAGATGTCCAAGCAGCAGCAGCAGCTGCACTCGTCGAGCGGCTGCTCTGGCATCGGATCCGGCAAGAGGACCAAGTACGATGGCGGCACGGGCACGTACAGCTACAAGACGAAGCTGATGGACCCGGTGAAACGGGCGCTGCACAACGACCTGGAGAAGTCGCGGCGTGTTGAGACCAGCATGCTGTTCATGAACCTCAGCGAGCAGGTGTCCTTCCTGGATGACAACCGAAAGATACCGTCCAAGCTGAGCATACTGCGCGGCGCCAAGCGGGAGTGCGACCTGATGATGTTGGACGAACGGCGACTGCTGTCCGAGAAGCACGTCATGCAGCAGAAGCAGCGCATGCTCCGGGAACGGCTGTTCGAACTCCGACGGGACCACTACCACCGGCGATACGGTAAGAACAACCCTAAACAACAACAACAACAACAGCAACACCAACAGCAACAGCAGCAGCATTAGTGTTAAAGTTTGTGCGGTTGTGCACGCTGCTGCGGCGTCGGCGGGGGTAGGATTTGACCAGGTCCGAACAACCCCCGACCCGCTGCACGCGCTCTCACCACCTCTATCCCATCACCGAAATTACACACACACAAACACACACGCTACACATCCTCCCGGAGGAGGGGCGATTGTCGCTCGTTCGTTTTTATTTATTTAACTCTTATTTTTTCTCGTTTCAATGAAAGGTTGCTCAAGTACACGTTATGTTATAACTATTTATTATTATTATTATTATCACTCCATATACATTGTGTGTGTGTATATTTTTTTATATATATATATGTATAAATATATACGTAATTTTATTAAATAATATTATCGATATGCAATTGTGTATCATATTACGTATGTGCACGACACGACGTGCACATACGCATAAGATAGAAACATGTAAGTTTAACGCGTCCGTACTGCTGCGCTTAAGTTTATTTTTTCCATGAGTACGTTTTTTCGGTTCGGTATTTTTTTTTTAACATTTCGTTAATTTTTTTCTATATCATAGAAAGTACAATTATTTTTCTACCACCAAATACAGTTCAGAAAAAAAACCTTCGGAAGAATATTATATACATGTATATATATATATTTATAAAATTATTATTAAGAAGGCGTGTGTGTACATACTTAAAATATTTGGTAGTATTATCGACGTACCTTTTCGGAGCTCATCATATTTTATCGAGTTTTTCTTAAATTTTATTTCCCGACCCCGGAACATAATTCGTACCCCCGCGCATACAATTTATGCGCGTCAAATATTCTTGTAAATATAAATGTACAACTGTTAACTACTACATATATATATATATATATATATATATATATATATATATATATGTATTTATAAATATATAAGATTATAATCGTGTAAACCCTTCAGGATATTTGGTATTTTTAAACGTGTAGGCTGCCTACTGAATACATTTGAAAATATTATAAAAAAAAATCGTGAAGTATATAAGGTGTTAAATAAGTTTTGAGATAATATTATCATGTTCCTATTGTACAGTTTTTTTTAAAACATTTTTAACAGATACCTTTAAATGTATAATAATTTTAATGTTACCCATGAATTTAGACGATAAAATAATTTTAATTTGTTTAAGTACGAGTAATTGTTTAGTTATCTAGAATATGCTTTACCCTCCCCACATATTTTAAATGCACAGTACAAAATAGATTAAGATCTTAAGCAGTTAGTAGATAGAACTGGTAGTATTGGTAACTTATTTTTTCTCGTATAGATACTTTTACTCGTTAGTTTTTTTTTTTTTTTTTTTTGTTACGTTTTACCTGATTTCGTTGCATTTCCAAGTTGTGTTTGCGCATTTTTCCTTTATTATTAATTTTATAGTTATTTCATTTTTTAAACTTTTTTTTTGTTCACTAGATGGCACTTAATTTAAACGCACTTGTAAAATAAAATAAAATTTTTTATGTACGTATTACAATATTATTATTATTATTATTATCATTATTATCATTATTATTATTATTATTTTTATTTTTATTATTATTATTATTATTATTATTATTATTATTATTATTATTATTACAATTATTAAAAAAAAAAAAGTAATTTATAATAATGCTAACTTGTACATAACGTTATTAACAAGAACACATACAAATAATAAATGGTAAATAGCTTTTTATATTTATAGATATATGTACGTTCACGTATCTATTTATATACTTCTATGTGTGCATATATTATACATATATATGAATTAAAATAATTGTTATTGCGATTATTTATGATTAATTATTATACCAGCGGAAGTAACAGGCGTGTTCATTAATATTAGGTTTTTTGTTAAAGGAAAAAATAAAGAAATCATAGACATTTTTTAAAAAAATTTTCTCCTACGATACAATTGTGATAAGTGCTATTTTTTATAACTTGTTAAGACTTTGTTTTAGTAGTTAGGCCACAAAGATTTTTTTTTTTTGTTTTTCTCCAAACAACACGTTTCTGCCGTAAAATAATCGTCCCTAAGATTTTTTAAATGTTTTTGGGTTTTTTTTTTTTAACTCTAGTCTTGAGTGCCATCCTCGTTCATAAAATATATTACAAACCCCTCCCTTTTTTCATATTTTAATCGCGCGCGCGAGAGAGACATATTTTTTAAACGCTAACTCTTAATTGGTCGCACATATTTAATTATATATAATATATATTGAGTATATTAACTAAGGAGAAAAAGTAAAATTTAGTGAGACTAATTTTGTATTAGATAATATTATTTTTAATAATTAAGGCTGAACGTGATTGTTAACCAAGTGCTGCATGTACATTTTATTGGAAAATGATATTAAAAATAAAAGTAAAATAAAAATAAATAATAGGTAATAAGAAACATTTTCATCTTAATTCTAAGCCATACATTTACCCTATTTATATTTATCGAATCATAAGTTAAACATATAATATATATTTTTTTTATGTACAGTCTGTGGCATTAGCCTAGAAAGTTGTTAGACTTGCTTTTATCTGTTATAATTTAAGTTTTGTTTTTTTTTTTAACTCTGTAACGAGTGTCAACTTTTCTTTTATGATTATTAATTTATATATTGGTCGAGTTTATTAAGGAAATCAATATGTACCTCTATCGTTTTTACACATGGAATACGAAAAAAAAAATAGTACATAATCAATTTTTTTTTTTTTTTATTATTATTATTTATGTAATATTTTAAAGAAACGATATTTGATATTTTAGAGTCTATGTTTTGTATTTTATTCATACTTATATTAGATAAAAAAAGCAAAAATTAAAAAAAAAATCGTGAAAATCTTATTGGCATTTGTTTTGTTATATTGGAAAAAAAATGTAAACTGGAATGGAAAAAAAAAAAATACGGCGTGTAGCAAAAATAAAAAAAAAATTATCGTTTTTTTTTTTCCAAGATCACCACACTGTTTCCATCTTTTATTTTTCCTACGTGCGTTCCTCGTCGTCGTGTAACGGCCGAAAGGACCGACAAAACGGAACGAGAAAAAGTGATTATGAACGAAAAAGTGCACTGTTGTGTTCCGGTAGCGCAAGAGCAGCCACCGGCGGTCGTATTGGTGCGCGCGCCGGTAGTGATGATATGTATACCTGCGTTGATTTCTTGAATCCGGCTTGAAAAGCGCGCGCGGTCGGTCGGTAGTGG